GTGTGTGAAGAAATATAGTTTTAAGGAGTTCTCTATTTACGGGTTAAAGTGCTCGATAACAGAGATAGAGCTTATGTAAATACAAAAGTGTACATTGAAGTCAACACGTTCATCGTGATAGTCTAGAAAATCCCAACACTGGCGTCCTAACGATTGAGTCTAGCATGAAAGAGTCTGTCACCTCTCAGTGTTGACTTCAATGTTCACTTTTGTATTTTTTATATATATATATATATATATATATATATATATATATATATATATATATATATATATATATAAATTTTCTCAGGGTTAATCCGCAGAAAAGGACAATATTTATAAATGTAAAAAACAATAGGAAAACTGTAATATTAGCCTACGAAAAATCCTCGAGAGTGCCGCCATTGAATATTACCCAAATCTTAATCTACGCCCAGGCTTTTCCCCTATTTAACCTTTCTGAACAGAATTACTTCTCTCCCAAACAAACGTACACAACAGTATCAAGAAATCAAAAGATAATGGTTGAATCCGTCAACACAGCAATAATAACAATATCTCCACACGTAAAAGTACTTGACATAATTTTCAGCTGACAATATGAATATAATAGCCTTTTCTAAATTCTTCCAGTTGCTAAGGACATTTTGTTTTGTTATTAATTGTTATTATGTTTTAATAAATTCATTTCATTTTTGCCTTGAAAAAGTCGACATTGGACGAAAGGCGTCGGCTAATATTACAGTTTTCCTATTGTTTCGCTGTATCACAGCTAATCAGTGTGGCTAGACATCCGGTTGCCCCGATTGAATTGGCGTCAATCGGGGATTCTACCACTAAGCCGTTGGCGCACGGCAGGGATGAAGGTGAATTTTAAGTGTATTTATTTTTAGATAAACACCAAGTGACTGAGAGAACTCAATTCGATTTATCGAAGAGTCTTGCATTATTAGCCGTAATATTCACTGTTTACAAACTCACACTTCCTCCCCAGAGAGCTCAACCGAAATAAATTTTTCAGGAGCATATATATATATATATATATATATATATATATATATATATATATATATATATATATACCTTAAGGTGTGCTATATTTATGGGATAAAGTGCTCATTATCAGAGATAGAGCGTGGGTAAATATAAAAGTGAACATTTAAGTCAACACTTAGAGGCGGCAGGCTGTTTCATGCTAGATGCAATTAATAAGCAAATTAAAAACTGCTTCCGCCAAAATAAGTTAAACTACAACAATCAACCCCGAAATTGAATAAATAGCCTTAATTATCTTCCCAAACCAAAAGAAAACTATTAAGTAAGTGAGGCAAAGAAATTTTCACGACGTTAATAGAACACCGATTAAAATAAAAATAAATATATAAGATAAGAAATAAAAAATAAAAATAAATATATAAGATAAGAAATAAAAAATAAAAATAAATATATAAGATAAGAAATAAAAAATAAAAATAAATAAAAAACAAGCAAATTATCTAACCCAAATAAATAAACAAATAAACGACTTCCGGCAAAATAACCGCCAAAATAGACTACCCACAATGCACCACTAACACGTATATATAAACAGCCGAGAAGAAAAAAAAAACAGCACTCGATTGCGTCTAGCGTGAAATAGCCTGTCGCCTCTAAGTGTTCACTTCAGTGTTCACTTCAATTATATATATATATATATATATATATATATATATATATATATATATATTAAGGCATGTCACTATATTATTTTTCCCAAGACATGGTCTTATATTATTTTCCTAAACTGGTGTTGCTCAAGAATAAAAGAGAAACAAAATGGATGACTTGTTTTTGGGACAAATTTTTCATGAACGTTTTTCCAAATGTCAGTAGCTTATAACTCTGTCGGTATTACATATCCAAATTTATTACATACTGTCGACATGGATAGTGCATGAATAAAAACAATTCTTCAATTTATATTCCACCCATTCTGAAGAATTTCTATCTCAAAACTCGACGACTTATAAGCGGAGAGTATAAAGATTGTTAAACGATTTTTTAAAAGTCACTCATTTTCTTCCTGTTTTCGTCACAGGCAACGCTAACTTGGGTAAAATAATGTTAGATTTAATTATTTTAAACATACACAAATTCTGTCTATATTTCTGAGATGAGGTATTATGTACACTATTTACATTAGTCGGACTATTGTCCTCATCTTTGTCGCCATATTTGTCACAACGTTTCGGCCGTTGTACGCTCCGGCCTTCTTCAGGTGGTTGGAATTTCGAACTGAACCCTTTATTTCGCTCACTGGGGTAGACTGTTCTAGTTCCACGTGCCATGTTTTTGATGGATGTCAGTTATCAGTTATCTCCTGTTAATTTCAAGGTAAGGCTTCAAGAACACCAGAAGGCTGTAACACGAGGGGGAGTAGAAAAATCAGGCGTGGCTGACCACGTATGGAGAGAGAAGGGAGATCAGCGCCCCCTGTGGGATCAGGTTGAGATCATAGACAGGGAACACCATTGGAAAATTCGTAAACTTAAGGAATCAGCACATATGCTAGGCCACAAAAATCTCCTGAGCCGACCAAGCATAGAAATAAATACAATATGGGAACCAGTAATAAGGAGTGCTTGAGAAAATCAATGATAACAACAAAGTTGCAATATGAGCTCTGGTAAAAACATGAAAGGATAACAGCAAAATTGCAATATGAACACTGGTAAAAATGTAGGTTTATAATACCCAGAAATTCATACCCAGATGTCCTCAAGGACACATGGCACAGTGGTTGGATCCAATGACAGGACCCAAAGAGTGTGAGTTCAATACCCGGTTAAGGCAGTGGAGAGCTTTCAGATGGAAATTAACAGGAGATAACTGATAACTGACATCCAACAAAAACATTGCACGTGGAACTAGAACAGTCTACCCCAGTGAGCGAAATAAAGGGTTCAGTTCGAAATTCCAACCACCTGAAGAAGGCCGGAGCGTACAACGGCCGAAACGTTGTGATAAATATGGCGACAAAGATGAGGACATTAGTCCGAATAATGTAAATAATACACACAAATGTGTACACAAAAACATTTTTCATTATGCATCTGATGAAGTCTTTGAAGGCGAAATGCATTATCGGATATTATTTTCGAGGTATATTTTTCATGAACGTTTTCCAAATGCCAGTAACTTAGTACACACTGTATATAAAGTGGGCATAGTAGAGTCTAGATAGAGGCAGTAGCTTTGATGTCTGACACGCTGCGTCATCTGGTGGACAAGCATCTCTAGTCGTCAACCATTACCTATATTTCCCCCGTGATGGCTCCAAGTTGTCATGTCCCGGTAAAAATTTTCAGCTGGCGGGCTAAACACACATGAGGCGGTGCTGTTAACACAGCACCACTGGGCGAAGGCCGTCCTCGACACGGATCGCCAACCAGGACAGAAAGGTTTTCTCAGATAAAAAAACAATATGTTCGCGGCCAAGGCGAGCCAATTTCGGGATTACATACCCAAATTTATTACATACAGTGTGTATCAAAATACTTTTACAAACGTTGGGGTCGCGTTCCTGACACCAAAACAAAGTAAAATTCCATATAAAACATGGCATCCCGCTCTCACCCCTTCACTGTCGAAACTCCTAAATGTAGCCGTCTCTTCTACTCTAATAGCTTCATGTGTCGCACCTCTCGCCTGTGGAACTCCCTTCCCTTCTCCTGTTTCCCCTTGAGCTATAATCTCCAGCTATTCAAGTGTAATGTCAATCGACATATATATATATATGTATGTATGTATGTATGTATGTATGTATGTATGTATTAATCAGTTCATTTCCATCGAGACGATAACGCGGCTAAGAAGAAAGCGGGGAGTTACCGGAAGTGAAAGAGAGGTTAAAAGACTTTAGAAAGAACGGGAAATCAATAATAGTATAAATTTGAGAGTTTGTATGCAGATTTTAGAAGTATATAAACCGGAAACCCAATCCTAACCCGGAAACAAAGGATAACCGTCTACTCCTGTTCAAAAGATCGGGGAGGAGAGTGAACCTAGCTACTCCTGTTAAGAAAAATAGCAAATAAACGTTCAGCGTTTTCGTGGGACTTGTTTGACGTATAGAGTTGAAAAAAGACCGGGAAGGGGTTTGAACTGGGCGACAGGTGATCCTATCTACTATTATTGTGGAAAAATAAAAAAAAATATAAATAGTAAAAATTTCAAAGTTTTGTCCGGGACGTTAGAAGTATAGTGTTGAAGTAGAATTTAGAAGAAGCCGGAAACCCAATCCTAAACAGGAAACAAGGGATAAATCTCTACTCTTGCTTTAGTCAATTTATTTAATACCATTTTATGTCATACGCAAATCCCTTAAAAATGCGAACGGCTGTCTCGCGCATAGAAACAAAGGAAAGGGAAATAGCTCAAGCAAAAATAGGTATCACAGTTCGTGTAATATAATTAGGCCACGTTTTTACTTACATGACTTGGAATTCTAAAAGGTCCACCATTAGATAATGATCATGCATGTCACCACTTAATGACGCCGATCGAGCAGACACGAACTGATGCCAGTTTTGTTCCAAGTTCTCTACGCTGCCAACAATGCGTCATCAATTATAGCTCTCGAAAATTCTCATTATATAAAATGGTTAAAAAAAAAAAGTACAGCGTCTAAGGAGAAATAAAATTGTCATATATCATTGATGAAGATCGGACTCGGCTTTGAAATAAAATTTTGCGACATTTTTTTTTTCTTTTTTATTTTTTAGGCGTTGTAGATCATTCGGTTCAACGAAGAGTCTGATTGATATGCATGTGACAAATATCTGAAATTACTTGCCTTGGGTCATCGGCAAGATTGAAATCAGCTGGGGCTTCCTTCTTCGTTGGGTTCCTCAGCTGCGCGATTCGACCCACCCACCTATCGCTTTTCTTATAGGGTACTCTCACTCTCTCTCTCTCTCTCTCTTTCTCTCTCTCCCCCTCTCTCTATCTCTACTTGTCTGTCTCTTCACGATTTGCTTCTAAGTACAAAGACAAGACGAAAGAAAGCGACGACAGACAAAGAATGTACGCATAGAAAGAAAGAAAGAAAGAAAGAAAGAAAGAAAAGAAAAGAAAGAAAGCAATATTGACAGACGAAGAAGGTATGTTAAGAAAGAAAGAAAGAGAGAAAGAAAGAAAGAATAAAAGAAAGAAAGAAAGAAAGAAAGAAAGAAAGAAAGAAAGAAAGGAATACTGACAGATGAATAAGGGTTGCACGGAAAGAATGTTAGAAAGAAAGAGAGTGATGGCAGACGAATAGTGTATGCCGAGAAAGAAACAATGAAACAAAATGCTATGGAAGAACAAGGTACGAATAGAAAGAAAGTGATAATGACAGACAGAAAATATATGCGCAGAAAGAAAGAAAGAAAGAAAGAACGAAAGAAAGAAAGAAAGAAAGAAAGGAAGAAAGAAAGGAAAAGAAAGTGGTAATGACAGACGAAGAGTGTATGCGTTGAAAGAAAGAAAGAAAGATAGAAAGAAAGAAATAGAAAGAAAGAAAGTGATAATGACAGACGAACAATTTATGCGTAGAAAGAAAGAAAGAAAGAAAGAAGAAAGAAAGAAAGAAAAAGAAAGAAAGAAAAAGAAAGAAAGAAATAATGACAGTCGAACAAGGTATGCGTAGAAAGAAAGAAAGAAAGAAAAAGAAAGAAAGAAAGAAAGAAAAAGAAAGAAAGTGATAATGACAGACGAACAATTTATGCGTAGAAAGAAAGAAAGAAAGAAAGAAAGAAGAAAGAAAGAAGAAAGAAAGAAAGAAAAAGAAAGAAAGTAATAATGACAGTCGAACAAGGTATGCGTAGAAAGAAAGAAAGAAAGAAAGAAAAAGAAAGAAAGAAAGAAAAAGAAAGAAAGAAAGTGATAATGACAGACGAACAATATATGCGTAGAAAGAAATAAAGAAAGAAGAAAGAAAGAAAGAAAAAGAAAGAAAGAAAGAAAGTGATAATGACAGACGAACAATATATGCGTAGAAAGAAATAAAGAAAGAAGAAAGAAAGAAAGAAAAAGAAAGAAAGAAAGTGATAATGACAGACGAACAATATATGCGTAGAAAGAAATAAAGAAAGAAGAAAGAAAGAAAGAAAAAGAAAGAAAGAAGGAAGAAAGAAAGAAAAAGAAAGAAAGAAAGTAATAATGACAGTCGAACAAGGTATGCGTAGAAAGAAAGAAAGAAAGAAAGAAAGAAAAAGAAAGAAAGCATGCGATAATGACAGTCGAACAATGATTAGAAAGAAAGAAAATGACAAAAAAGAATGCATAGAAAGAAATGAGTAAATAAAGAAAGAATTAAGAAAAGAAAATGATATCAACTCACGTGATGCACATAGAATGAAAGAAAGAAACAAATAAAAAACAAACAAAGATAGAAAGAAAGAAAGAAAGAAAACATCAAAATGGCAAACATGGGACGCATGAGAAAAAAAGAATCCCATAATAACAGACAAAGGTACGCATAGAAAGAAAGAAAGAAAGAAGAAAGAAGAAAGAAAGAAAGGAAGATGAAAGAAACAAAGAAGAAATATGAAAGAAAGAAAGAAAGAAGAAAGAAGAAAGAAAGAAAGGAAGATGAAAGAAACAAAGAAGAAAATGAAAGAAAGAAAGAAAGAAGAAAGAAGAAAGAAAAAGAAAGGAAGATGAAAAATGAAAGAAGAAAGAAGAAAGAAAGAAAGAAAGAAAGAAAGAAAGAAAAAGAAAGAAAGAAAGGAAGATGAAAAAAGAAAGAAAGAAGAAATAAAGAAAGAAGATGAAAAGAAAGAAGAAAAGAAGAAAGAAAGAAAGAAAGAAAAAGAAAGAAAACAAAGAAGAAAGAAAAAGAAAAAGAAAGAAAGAAAGAAGAAAGAAAGAAAGGAAGATGAAAGAAACAAAGAAGAAATATGAAAGAAAGAAAGAAAGAAGAAAGAAGAAAAGAAAGAAAGGAAGATGAAAAGACAAAGAAGAAATATGAAAGAAAGAAAGAAAGAAGAAAGAAGAAAGAAAGAAAGGAAGATGAAAAAACAAAGAAGAAATATGAAAGAAAGAAAGAAAGAAGAAAGAAGAAAGAAAGAAAGGAAAATGAAAGAAACAAAGAAGAAATAGGAAAGAAAGAAAGAAAGAAGAAAGAAGAAAAGAAAGAAAGGAAGATGAAAGAAACAAAAAGAAATATGAAAAGAAAGAAAGAAAGAAGAAAGAAGAAAGAAACAAAGGAAGATGAAAGAAACAAAGAAGAAAGAAAGAAACAAAAAGAAGAAACAAAGAAAGAAGAAAGAAACAAAGGAAGAAGAAAGAAACAAAGAAGAAAGAAAGAAACAAAAAGAAGAAACAAAGAAAGAAGAAAGAAACAAAGGAAGAAGAAAGAAACAAAGAAGAAAGAAAGAAACAAAGAAAGAAGAAAGAAGAAAGAAAGAAAGGAAGATGAAAGAAACAAAGAAGAAATATGAAAGAAAGAAAGAAAGAAGAAAGAAGAAAGAAAGAAAGGAAGATGAAAGAAACAAAGAAGAAATATGAAAGAAAGAAAGAAAGAAGAAAGAAGAAAGAAAGAAAGGAAGATGAAAGAGACAAAGAAGAAAAGAAAAGAAAGAAAGAAAGAAGAAATAAGAAAGAAAGAAAGAAAGATGAAAGAAACAAAGAAAATATGAAAGAAAGAAAGAAAGAAGAAAGAAGAAAGAAAGAAAGGAAGATGAAAGAAACAAAGAAGAAATATGAAAGAAAGAAAGAAAGAAGAAAGAAGAAAGAAAGAAAGGAAGATGAAAGAAACAAAGAAGAAATATGAAAGAAAGAAAGAAAGAAGAAAGAAGAAAGAAAGAAAGAAAGGAAGATGAAAGAAACAAAGAAGAAATATGAAAGAAAGAAAGAAAGAAGAAAGAAGAAAGAAAGAAAGGAAGATGAAAGAAACAAAGAAGAAATATGAAAGAAAGAAAGAAAAAGAAAGAAAAAGAAAGAAAAAGATGAAAGAAACAAAGAAGAAATATGAAAGAAAGAAAGAAAGAAGAAATAAGAAAGAAAGAAAGGAAGATGAAAGAAACAAAGAAGAAATATGAAAGAAAGAAAGAAAGAAGAAAGAAGAAAGAAAGAAAGGAAGATGAAAGAAACAAAGAAGAAATATGAAAGAAAGAAAGAAAGAAGAAATAAGAAAGAAAGAAAGATGAAAGAGACAAAGAAGAAATAAGAAAGAAAGAAAGATGAAAGAAAGAAGAAATAAGAAAGAAAGAAAGAAAGAAAGATAGAAAGAAATATGAAAAAAACAAAGAAGAAATAAGAAAGAAAGAAAGAAAGAAAGAAAGAGATCTTGACAAACAAAGACGGTATACATTGATATCGGAAAGGACAAAATGTGCTAATATATGCATACATATATGGGGTCACAATAAAAAAACAACAAACAAACAAAAAACGAGCAACGCTAATGCGTATACGAATATACAACTGCACCTTTGTGCATTTGAGTGAGATATAGACAGTGAACTAAAAGAAACATTGCATAAGGAGGGTTTCACATCACGGAGTAACATTGCACAGTTAGATCTGGTACAAGGACACAATATCGAACTCACCACACAAGAGAATTGATTAGTGAAACAAGATTACTATTGAATCACGACATTTTCTGTCTGTCTGTCTGTCTCTCTCTCTCTCTCTCTATATATATATATATATATATATATATATATACATATATATATATATATATATATATGATCATCACTTGATAAGACACCAGAGGTGTTGAAACAAAATGGCTATTTTATAGTGATTTTATAACATATTTATGTTATAATTTTCAAATAAATAATTATATTCGCTCTACTCTGTATTGAGCACTCTTTTAAGAATAGTAATTGTTGGTTATTGAAATTTATTCCGTATACACTAACCTATACTTGTATATATATATATATATATATATATATATATATATATATATATATATATATATATATATATATAAAATACATTGGTTTTAAGCTTTCAGAATCTTCAAAAAACAAAATTAAGAGCGCTATATTTTTTTTTTAAAATAAATAAATAAACACATATGATAAATTTAGAAATAAAAAAAATACTATAAATTTACTAATTTATGTTAATTTATACTAATATTTATTCCATGGAATACAAGTGGCCAGCTATCATATATATAGGAGGCACGGTGGAGTAATGGATATCGGCTTGGATTGAGGAATCGCAGAGCCGAATTCGAATTCCAGTCGAATCCATTACATTCACTTACGTGCTAATACCCTTGGGAAAGGTATGAATCCTCTCTCCAGCTATGGGTAAAATAGCAGGACAGACTGGATCCTATGGTCTAGGAGAAGGACAACTCTGAATTCAAAACCTGCGGAGGGTCGTTTGGGTACCTTGTGGCACGTAGTGCACCAGGTCTCTGTATTTGTCCCTTCAAAAAGTGTGGATGGTCCTGCACGAAACCTTCACCACTATAATCAATTATCAAGTGCTGATGTCGGAAACTGAAACTGATCTGTTTGACCCTCATACGTCGAATTTCGACGGAAGAGTCGACTATATATATATATATATATATATATATATATATATATATATATAATAAAAAGATGTATAAAGATACATTTCGTGGTGACATACACACACCATAGACAATTTAATGTTAGAATAAGAGAGAGGGAAAGACGAGGTGGGGGAGAGAGATGGAGCGAAGGAAAGGGAAATTGCGTTTACTTTAAGGGCCGCTTTGTAATTGAGAAAATTTGACAAATTTAATATCGACTATAGGTTACAAATCTTTATACATCAGACAACATTCATTTTTCTCTTATTTAAAACCCTTCCACCCACCTCTCCTAATATTCTCTCTGTTAAGTTTTAATCTCCCTCCACCTCATACTTACACTCTCTCTAAATTCTAGTTTTATTTCCGGAGTTGTTTTTTTCTGTTTTCTTTTTAAATTTGTAGGTCTGATGAATTGGATCGTATTTACGATTCCAATGGAATAAATTATGACCATGGAATATTAGTGTTTAAGCCTTTTTATTATATCCTTACTCTGTCCTTGACATTGAGTTCTACCTGGATTCTTCCTCTTGGAAAATTTTTTTCTGAAAATATACATGTATTGGTATTTATATATTTTGCATATGTATGTATATTTACCACTAATATTCTCTCTCTCTCTCTCTCTCTCTCTCTCTATATATATATATATATATATATATATATATATATATATATATATATATATATATATATATATGTGTGTGTGTGTGTGTGTGTGTGTGTGTGTGTGTGATAGATAGATAGATAGATAGATAGATAGATAGATAGATAGATAGAGTGGTTAAAGCAATCGTTCTCGGGCCATGAGACAAGGGTTCTAATCACGCCATAATCGCTTTGTCAAAGAGTTGATTTCTTGATATTAACGGCCTCATAAAGCGATACTAGCTTTCGGCTCTTTTGGAAAGTGCCTTCAACGGGTTGACCCAAGACTTGTCAGGTAAAATGCTCTCGATGGTTACGCCGGCACGACTGCACAAGTCATCGTGCCCGAGCGTCTGATCCTGCTGTCATTGTTCAAACTAGTGATCCCGTCAGATTATGCGCGCTCCCCTCGAAAAGTCTGCTTGGTATAGTCGGAGTGTCAACTTGAGCAAGCACAAAACATTTGCCCGAGCTGGCATCTGCAATAGAGTTGGATTCCTGCGACAACTAATATTGAGAAACATTTATCAGGTTCACAGGGCGATGGATGACAGTCGATTGCCTATAAATCCAATAGCCAATGCTGTTAGTATGTCCTGTGAGAGAGTTGAGGATATTCCGCGCAATGAAATTGGCTTGACGAAAGGTCCTGCTCCTAGGGTACCACGTCTTCTGACAACTGATCAATATCGCACAGTCTGATCCGATCAAGGGAAAATCTAACATTGTTTGAGGCAGGTCCATCTGGTTTCCTTAAGCGTTTCCTAACCCAAGATAAATGTTGCGTTAATCACTCTGTGCCGGTGACAAATAGACACTCAATCCTCACCGGCTCCTTACAATGCCAAGGTCGTTTTATCTCCAGCGGTTGATGGCTTATATTTTGAGGATGCTAAAAGTATTGTGTTTATTGAATATTTTCAAAATGGCCGCAAGGTCAATGCAGAGTACTATGCCTACTTGATGAGACAGTTACAATGGGCTGTCAAGACCAAATGCCCAGGAAAATGGACGAAAGGAGCCTTGTTTCATTAGGATAGTCC